GAGGTGTTTCTTCGCAATTCTTTGCTGTGTTGTGAATTTTGTCTGACTGCGATTGAGGGAATCAGGGAACTGTTAGCGTCCAGACGATTTATAATTATTTTAGTTTTCACAGCCACTCGCGATCCCTGCAAGCTGGTTGAAAGAGATAACAGTGTTTTCTTTTACACGGCGACGGGGTGGAGAGACATTGGTGCTCGCATGTTGGACTTGGCACGCCAGCATGGCGATGTCTGGGTGCAGCTCACCTTTATTGGTGGACCCGAGCCGTTGGATGCGGTGGTAACCGTCGCTGCAACAATGACAGGCCTACGCTTGGTTTCAGGAAACATCGCCAAGCACTGGGAGGAGCCGACCGTTGCGGGCAATTTGCGAATCTCCGGACGTCTCAAGTACCAAATTTCGAGGCACAAATGCTCCTGCCCATCGTGTGTGTGCTGCCCGGGAGTTGTGGGTCCAGCAAGGGCTGATCATTGCTGAAAGGGCGGAGGTTGAGCACCGACGACGCCAACGCCGTCGCGGACGTTCCGGATCGGAGTGTGCAGCTTTACTCTCAGATGGAAGAGGCGCATAATTACTTGTCGGCACGCGGATCTCACATTGCGGTGGCCGGCGGCATTCTTGCGGGACGCGGAGACGCCGTGCCAACGAGAAGCGCCCACCTCTCGGAGAGGGCCGCCAGATGAACCCCCACGCATGCATGCGCGACGATTGCGGAGATACGCAGCCAAATCAACCGCATCGCATGATGGCTGGTGACGTGCCAGAATCCACGTTTCCTCAACGCAATCTCACGGGAGAGATGGCGGGTCAATACTCATTCGTCATTGGGCAATCTTTGGCGACCATATTTCCCTCACTCGATGCCTTTGCCCTCCCGCACTTCCTCCTTGGAAGATGATTCCGGTGCAGAGGATCAGGTACTGCATTTTCTTGCATTCGGCGTCGACACTTGGGTCCCGCGTGTATGAAATGAGGGCGTCTCCGGAGTCCTCGTCGACCTCCGATGCGAATACGGTTATTATTGGCACTAAATGGACGCTCAGGTTCAACTTGTCTTCGACGGTTTGGTGTTGTGCAGGCGCGCACTCGAGATAGATCGGGATCCCACCGATCAGCTCATGGATTTTGGCAGGACCCTACTGCAGACCTTCCGGATGCGGATCATGATGGCATCCGACCCCAGCATCACGCTCTCCAAACTTCGCGACCGCCTTCACATGGCTGTTCATGTGGCTGACACCTTCGCGAAGGCAGCCCTGCCTCTCGTGTAACGGCGAGCTACCCAACAACAACAACAAGAACAAAGACTGTTGCGATGCCGATTGTGTCGTATTTATGGACACGACGCATCTACACGCAATGTGTGCCCCAGAGGGAATTACTCACAATACAGGCGCCCTTCAAAAAACGGCAGGGGGGCGGCCGGCCGCTTACGAAGGCGGAAGAAACCAGCCCCATCCATTCCACCACCTCCCACCAATACCCACAGGCGTCGCACCGCACCGCCGACACTCCGCCCGACCTCTCAAATCGCCCGACGCAATCGTCGGGAAGGGCAATGGAGCTTATCCGCTAACGACGCTCGACTGTGGTACGACGAAGCACCGACATCCCCGCTTTGGAGCACCCGTACGAGGAGAGCGAACGAGGCGGCTCGAGAATTGTGTGCGCTGTCAGTGTGGTAGCAGAGAGGGCCTCTGGCGGGGCAATTCACAACCTTATGCCGCACGCACGAACAGCCGACCAGCGAGGAGGGCTGCGCGCCCTTTTGGCGGCAATATTAGATGCGGCGCCATAGTCCAGAGTGCGGCACGCAAGGATGCTGCGGTCCGTGTTGCAAATGGATCGAACCCCGCTGGACATGGTGATTCTGGGGTTACAAGGGGTTGCGGCGCGATTGAAGAGGAAGCAGGCGCGCCCCTTGACAAGGGAATGGGTGGATGGATATATCCACAGCCGGACTGATTGGAAGGAACGTGTTGTTTTTCGACCTGCGTGGATAACGGCGAGTTGTCGTTCCGAGATTGCAGCCTTAACCCCCAACAATTTCACGCTGGAGCATAATTTTGGATTGGTCCGTGGCGTCAAGGACGGCGAGGGCGGACTCCCGCCGAGCTTTGCGGTTCGTCAGGATACGAGGAGGGCAGGACGCGTTCGACACTATAGCGTTATGCAGGACACTTCGACGCAACGAAAGCTTACGAATCTTACGACTGCTCACGTGGAGCGATCTCTGGTTTCTTGGAATGCCACGGCGCACTCCACAAAACAGGGTGCGTTGAGGCACGCCGCTCAAATCGTGGAGACATGCAATTTGGACCCACACGTGATATTGCAGTTGGCGATGCACGCTGACCCGTTCGACCTTCCCCAGAATACTGTTTGATATTTGGGGAGGTACACCACTGTGCCGACCCAGGTGTCGTCGCTGCTCGCATTGATGTGAAGGGAAAACTGCGAGGGGCATGAACTCTGGTTGAAAGGGGAGAGGCGTTTTTCATGCTTTTTGTCATTGCGCTGCTACAATAACGCGACGCAAGCCAAGGACGCGTCCGGCCACTCCACAAGATGCACGAACCATCCCGCCGCAGCAACAAGTCAACGTGCCCGTGTTGAATCTGGAGTGGATCCAGAGCCGGTTGCACCCGGCCACCCTGGAGAGACTCATGCAAGTATGGGCACGTCGGGCGGTCTCCTTTCCCTCTGCCCTCCTCCGGCAGGCGCGCGAAAGCTCACGGAGGATTCCAGTCGCCGACGCGCGATTGCTGAAGGAAGCGGGAATAATCGAGGACGCTTTTTCTGCAAGAACAGGCGGATAGATAATACCCTTTTGGTTGTAGAGGGGAAAACCACCGGTTTGCGACGACGATGGATCGCGTGGCCACGCGACAAGAACAGAAACGACGCTTACGAGGCTAACTTTCCTTTTCTACACATTTCCCATTATTTGCCGCCTGTGATGGCTGAGGCCGCTTCCTGCCTGGACTTAAAGGCGTCCTTTTTGCAAGTCCCTTTACCGCGGGAGACTCGGCATCTATTTTGATGCCGCGTGGAGGACGGCACGCTGGTGGAGCTGACACGGCTCCCAATAGCACACAAGGCCGGCCCACAAATTCTCCAGATTATTATTACTTCGGCAATTGCGGTGGTGACGACGGTGGTTCGCCTCCTCTGGGCTGCACCTCCATTGGTGCGTGTCGACGTATGGATCGGTAATATACGCATTGCAGGGTCGATAGGCGATGTGACACGGTGGGAAGCCCAAGTGCTTCGTAATGCGGACGGCCGTCGCGCCACGATAGGGGAGGACCGCGAATCGGGTGCTGCGCAGTACACCTTCCTGGGGTGCAGTTTGATCACACTCACCGTGCGGTATCCCTGAGTGAGAAGTGTGTCCGGTCTGCATGCGCCATGCCGGCGCTCAATTCTTTAACCATCGCGGAAATGGAGGTTGTGGCGTCACGCTTTTTGTATGCGGCGGCCATTTTGGGCACGTGTTTATGTGTCTACTGCTTTCTCATCAAGGCAGTGCGACGACGATTATCCGCACTTGACCGGGGGATTGTGCAGGAGACATCCCCGACGAAAATTCCGCCGGCAGCGGTTTGCTTGGGCGAGAGACTGTGACACATCATCGAGAATATGGCCGTAAGCGAATCATCGAGCCCACGGAAAAGGCGTCGGCCGCCATCATCAGGGACGCATCGCTCCATGGATGGGGAGCCGTCTTCATTCCAGATTCAAGCAACGTCAAAATTGCCGGAGGAAAATGGAATAAGATGCCTTTTCGCATCATGCAGGCCGAGGCACGCGCGGTACGCTTGGCCCTATTGGCTTTTTCCGCCATCCTGCCACGCACCGTCGACGTTTGGATGAGCAATACTTCGCTGCAAGGAGCTGCGAATAAGGGCGGCTCGAAACCACACGCCACGACGCGGGAGCTGAAACGGATATATGGGTTTTTCGGACCCTCGCGGAATAAAGGCATTCTTTGCTTAAGTACGGTCTGCGGAAAACCCCGCAGACGGCATATCACGCGGTCGTGTTTTCACACTTGAGGAATTAGCGAAGGGGTGGAACTTGCGAAGGGGAGCGGCGGGGTCTTGTGGCTGGAGGATCTCAAATTCTTTCACCTCGTGGGTAATAAATATATATATATATATATCCCATCCGAACAGAGTGAACCGGCCACGATTGCGGTTATCGGATGATATGCGCTTACTTGGCGGTAAACTTTGAGGATGTAGTGAACCCACCCTTATTCCATTCATCCCCTTTCATTCCCGCCCTGCTTGGTTTCTACTATTGAAAAACACCAGATCCGGCCAGCCGCCCAGGTGAACATTCCCTCATGGAATTGCTGTTGGCGCGGGGCGGACAGCATCGACCAGCGCCCGGACCAGCCGCGCATTACTGGTGCACATCGCGGCACCATGGGGTTTTGGTGGCGCGCGTTGCGGTTCCGTCAGCAGCGCCATCCGCACCATGTTGCTGCCGAGCGAGGGTGTGGAACGCCGCCGGCCCCACTCTGGCGAAGCTTCTGGCGCTGAGCATGAAGCGGGATGACGAGAATGCGTTGCATTGTGTGATGGGTGGGACGGCGACGCCCCGCATCCTGAAGCCACTAGCTTCAGCCTGCCGGGTTTCCGGCACCACGGGGCCGCTTGCACCTGTCGAGGCAGCGGTGCGTCCGCTCTCGTACGTGAGGGGCTGCGGGCGGAAGCGGGACCGGCCCTCGCCGCCGGCATTGGGGTGGCGCAGGCGGCCGTCCATTCAGAGGCAGGAATGAGACCGGCGTTTTTGTTGCTGTACCTCCCTCCCTCCTCTGCGAAGAGTGTGTCGGCGGAGGAATTTGATGGGCCGTTCTGCGCGGACGGGCCAAACCTGACGGGCGCAGGCACCAACGCACACACGGAGGCTTGGGATTGCAG